GAGTGTTTCCCTTTTTCTTTCTTTCTTCTTTTTGTGTTTTTGAGACAGGGTCTCGCTATGCAGTTCAGGCTGGTTTTGAGCTCACTTTGTAGCCCAGGCTGGTCATAAACTTTCAGTGATCCTCTTGCCTCAGCCTCACGAGTGCTGGGATTTTTTTTTTTTTTACGAGTGCTGGGATTACAGGCATGTGCCACCACATCCAGCCCCTTTTCCTTTCTAATTTATCTTTTTATGTATATATTTTTCTGTGTTGAGGATTGAATACAAGACCTTGTACTCTGCCACTTGAGCTACATTCCCAGATATACCTGGGAATGTAGCTCAGTAATGGCTAAAAGGTGGATAGGTGACAGAAAGATGAATGGATAGGCTGGGTGTGGTGGCGCACGCCTGCAATCCCAGCACTCAGGAGGCTGAGGCAGGATTGTGAGTTCAAGGCCATTCTGGGATACATAGTGAGCTCAAGGCCAGCCTGAACTGCATAGGGAGACCTTGTCTCAAACACCAAAAAAAAGACAAATGGATAGCTGAATTAATAGATAGGTAGTTCAATGATATTTACATATACATGTATATATATACACACACACACACACACATATATATATCACCCAATTATATATATATAAAATTTTGTGGCAGGGTCTTGCTAATTTCATCAGGTTGACCCCAAACTTTTGACCCTACAAAACTCCAAACAAACAAACAAAAACGAAAAAACTCTTCAGTCTTACTGCGTCAGCCTCCTGCGTAGCTGAAATTACAGGCATGGACCATGTTGCCCTCATGGCAGGGTTTACACTTTTTTCCATTTCCCTAAAAGGCCAGTCTGCAGCCCTGTATCCCAGTGCAGAGCACACAGTACGCATCATGGAGACTGAGATTCAGGCTCCGTTACTTACTGTGCGGCCAGAGTTACCCAGACTTTCTTACCCAGGATCCTTCTCTGTAAAAAGGGAATGGTAACAGACCTATGTTTTAGGGTTGAATGAGGTTTACTCATTTTATTCTGAACAAAATCTTTTTAGTTTAGAGGCTGTCAGATGATAGGTGCTCATAAGTATTAACCTTTTGTTTTGTTTTGTTTTGGGAGACTGGGTCTCGCTATGTAGTTCATGCTGGCCTTGAATTTCACTATGCAACCCAGGCTGACCTTGAACCTGAGGTGGTTTTCCTACCTCAGCCTCCCTAATACTGGGATTACAGGCTGTGCCACTACACCCAGTTTAATCATTATTTTTTTTTTATTATAACATTCAGCTATCTATCTATTAATTCATCTATCCATTCATCTTTTTTTTTTTTGTCTTTTTGAGACAGGGTCTTGCTATTCAGTTCAGGCTGGCCTTGAGTTCACTTTGTAGCCCAGGCTGGCCTTGAACTCACAATCCTGCCTCAGCCTCCTGAGTGCTGGGATTGCAGGCATGCACCTGCAATGTAACTCGTTAAGTTATACTTTGGGTATCTCATATGAGAGAAACCACGTGATAGTCAAGCTTGTGTGCCTGGGTTACTTCACTTAACATTATGGTCTCAGGGTGCATGCGTTGTCCCACAGATCATTCAAATTTATCCTTCTTTATAGCAGAGTAGTACTTCATTGTATATAAATACCACATAAAAGTACAATTTTAGGCTGGGTGTGGTGGCTCATGCCTGTAATCCCAGCACTCAGGAGGCTGAGACAGGAGGATCCCCATGAGTTTGAGGCCAGGCTGGGCTACATACTGGTTCAAGGCTAGCCTGAACTACACAGCGAGACTCTGTCTAAACCAAAAACAAAACAAGGACACACAATTTAAAAATTACAAATTTTCTAGTCTCTTTTCCTACCTGTCTTTATTTTTGCTACCCTACCTCCGTCCTGATTATTCTGCTGGCCCCAGCCCTGCCCATTCTCCACTCTGCTCTGCCTGACAAGGTTCCCTGGGAGCCCGACTGCTATGGACTGCATTACCCAGGATCCCTTGCCCTCTGGTTTCTGTTTGGATTTGGCCAATGGGAGGAAGCAGCAGGACAGAGATGCTGAAGGACAGAAAAGCTGTCTTGCTGCAGTTCTGATAATGAGTACTTTTCTCCACGGCAGTTATTTTCAGAGTAGTCCTTAGATAGCAGCATCAACATCAACTGGGACCTTGTTGGAAATGCAAGCTCCTGAGCCCTGCCGAAAGTCCTCAGACCCGGTCAGGGCCCTACTACTGAGTCAGAGACTCCGGAGGTGGGTCTAGCACACTACTGTGCTTACCACACCTGCCAGTGACCTGACGTGTGCTAGCTTGAGTCCCCCCGATCTAGAGTTACAGGTCCTTTTCGTTGCCTCTAACCAAAGCTCTTGAAAACAATTCCCTCTGTTTTCCTGCCGGGCTTTGGGGTTGTTTTGGTGTTTTTTTTTTTTTATACCAGGAATCGAACTCAGGACCTTGCACTTACCAGGCAGGTGCTTGTGCTGCTGAGCTACATCCCTGGTCCAAGGCTTTGGGATGGTAATGAGTTCCCCTTACTGCCAGACCTGGCGCCTCAGCACCCTAGTTAATCCTTAGTCCTGACCCTACCTCTTAAATTGCCCATTTATTCAAGACTTTCTAGTTAAGTTTTTTGAGTACGATATTTGAAATCTGTATTTGATCCTCCTGCTCCTTTCCTGACAAGTAGTTCCTAAAATCCTGAGCCCCCTGGAGTGATGAGTCTTCCATTTACGAATCAGATGCCTGGGGGCTGGGGGCCCCTAGTCAGCCTGAGGAAGGGAGCTAACTCTGCAGTGAGAGAGCTGGGAACTGTGAGTTCAACTGCCCACAGCCCCACACCAGGGAGGGAAGAGGAACCCAAGGCTGAACTGGTAACCCACAGCCGCTGAGGCCGTCGGTTACATCAAGAGAAGGACTGGCTGTGGAGGCTTCTGTAGAGCTCAGCGAGTAGCGGGGCTTCCTGGACATGCCGGGAGAAGGCCTGCAAGTTCTGTGCTCTCCCCAGACCTGGTCTCTGCCTCTCTTTCCACTGGCTGTTCACTGAGGAGGCTGAAAAGGCAGAAAATGAGTTAACCCCTTGTGAGAGTCCAGTTACACTAAACCTAGCCTCTCGGCCCACGGGGCTTCCCTGAAGCAGCACACACTAGGCGATGAGAGCGTTCTGCACAGGCTAGCACACATGTACAGCTTAAGAATAAGCTTGCCTTTGATGTGAAGCACACACATTTCTTCCCAGGGGCCTGTGACCCTTTTCTCCAAGTGATGCATATGATGTCCTTATGGACAGCCTTACGGCCTCCGTGACAGCCGGAGTAGTAGAGGTGTTAAACTGGCTCCTTTATGGGTAATGGTGAACATAATAGAGTGCTCCTGTCAGATAGCTGACCTGAAGAAAGCCTTCCCCACACTTGATCACCCACACCTTCTTCATCTTCCGCAGCCTCTATAAAAACCTCAGTCCTTCACCCTGATGACGCAGTCCTCTCCGGAACTGGCCCGCTGAGCTCTTGCAGTATATCATAAATAAATAAATAAATACGTACATACATACATAAATATAGTTGAGACAGAGTGTTGCTATGTAGCTTAGACTGGCCTTGAACTCTCTATGTAGCCCAGGCTAGCCTTGAACTCACGGTGATCCTCCTGTCTCAGCCTCCCAAGTGCTGAGGTTACAGGTGTACACCACCACACCCAGGGCCCCCCTGCCATTCATAAATTCTTAATTTATCTATATTCCTTGGTTATTGGTAAATTCTTCCACCACCCACAGCACTGGCCTCTCACACGCTGCATCACTTGACATTAATTTTTATCTTTTGAATATACTTTTTTTTTATTTTAAAGAGCAAAACAAGGATAACATAATAATAGGGGGGGACTTAGCATATTACAGACAAAATGGTAGGAAATTAT